CGCAGCCCCCGGGCCGCTCCGCCCCTCGCCGCGGCCTCGGGGCCCTTCAGCGCCCGGCCCCCCCGGCGAAATCCGCCGGGCGCCCCTCGCCGCGGCCCCTGCGCGGGGCCCGGGAGGCTCGGCCAGCAAATCCCTTAAGCCGCCTTCCCCGCGGCGCGGGAAGCGCTGGGCACGCGGCGCGGGAAGGGGCTGCAGCGCCCGGCGCCGGCCCGGGACGCACTGCCCGGCATCGCTGCTCTCTCCGAGGAAGGACCCCGGAGCGAGGCCCGCGCCCTTGCAGCTCGCCAGCGCAAACCGCTTATGCGTTTAATTCGTCTGAAACTGAGCTTGCACGGGCAGGTCCTTTCCCCGTGGAAGTTCAGTGAATTCCTGGAATGCTTTCAGGGAAGAGCGTGCTGGTGCATTGCAACAGCCTCTGAATACGTGGACTCCCACATGGGAGAGCGGTGCTACCGGCGGCTGCTCCCGCCGGCACACGCACCGGGTCGGTTTTAAGCCTGGTCAGTTTTAAGCCTGGTCACACGCACAGATCCAGCGCGAGGGAAGCTGCAAGTTCCCGCGCTCGGAGCGATGCGGGAGGGCGGCCAGAGATGCCTCCCAGCAGAGATTCTGGCAGGCGCGTGGGAACGAGCGCTTTCTGTGTCGCCTCCCAGCGCCACCCTTAAGGCCCCTCGGTCCCTACAACCGCTTGCAGGAGCTGCCCTTGCTTTATACGGCAGAGCCTTTCGCTTGCCAGTTGTCTGTAGCACGATGTTTAGCTTTAAACCCAGTAACATAACAGCAGAGAAATGAGAGAGAGCGTGGGGTACCTGGCGCCTCGTACCGGGCAGTCGGGGCCGCGGGGCTCTTCGCGGTCCGAGCCTCCTACTCCAGCGCCGCTCGAGTCAGGGGAGGGCTGAGGAAGAGCAGCTCGTCTCGGCAGGGCCGTCTGCGAGCGGAGCACAAAAGGAAGCACGCTGCGAGCCCAGAAGCAGGCGTGATGCTGCTCTGGCCTGCCGCAGTTCCTCCTTAATTTATACCAAGCCTTTCCAGGGGGAGGAGAGCGCTCGGCTCTCCCCCAGCGGAGCGCAGGAGGCTAAAAGGCTGCTCACTCACTCCGTGCACAGGCGCCAGCAGCTCAGCTCTCCCCCAAGGGCCGGGCCGTAGCGCTACCTACTCCGTCCCCTCCCCGGCCGGCCCTTTCCTTGTGACACTCACAGCCAGCCTGTCGCCATCTGCAAGCTGGGGAAAAAGCCCGGGCAGCTGCAAGCAGCAGTGCCAAGTGCAGGGCTTTCCCTTTTCCAAGAACCTCCAAAAGTGCTTTCCTCTCCGGCCCACCACCACCTCCAGCCAGTCCCCGTGGAAGCGGCCAAGCTGTCGGGTGAGGAATCACTCCTCCAAAGAGTGGCTGCTGGGCGCAAAGGGAAGCTGTGCCCTGTGCCACCCAGACAAGAGGGAGCCCTGGGGTGCCTGGAAAACCTCCTCCTGCCCTACAGCGCCTCACAGCAGGGCTTGCAGGGTTCATGTTTGAAGAGGAATTAACGAAAAAACCCTGCCACTGATAATGTAAACAAGCTACTTGTCTAAAAACATGTGCTACATCACTGCTATATGCTGTCCATGCAAGAAGAAATTGGAGAGGGTGTTAATAATTCAATGGGCTTTTCCCATTTCCAACATTATGATTCTAGCCTCTTGTACTCCTAAATTTTTCCATGGAGAGCTCCTGGGAGCTCATAGTATGGATTTAGCCTTAAACTGGAGCAAGGTGCTATCCTCTTTTCCCAGTATTTGAAAGGCAGCTCCTGTTTTGTTTTGTATTGTTTTGTTTTGTTTGTTTTGTTTTGTTTTGATGGTACCACTGCTACTGCTGGTGTCAGCCTCAGAAAGTACAGAGAATGACCAGAGGAAAAGCCTTCCCTCAGCAGCAGCAGTTTTKTTTGGCCTGTATGTATCAGTAATGAGATCACAGATTAAGAGCAGGGAAATTTTGTCAGTTCTTAAAAGACTATCCCACTTTGAGGCCAGCTGAGACGGCTTTTGGTGTGTTCTGGGCTGGGAACCAAAGCTCAGCAATTCATCTGTTCTGAGCTGAACAATCCTTGATACTTGCTCTCGCTTTTCCCAAGGGGATCCTCAGGTCTTCACTTTTTGCATGCTGGTCTTCACAAAGCCAAGCTGCTGCTCAGTATGCAGCTAAATAGCTGCCTCTTAAAAGGAGATCACTTAATGCTGCTGTATCTCTTTCCTGTTACCTCCTCTCTGCTCTGGATATGTACAAAAGCAATTAAAAAAATGCACAATGAAGCAATCAGAAATTTGGAGATAGCACAAGAGAGATTACGCAGCTTTGCTTCAATCCCCTTGCCCACATGTTTTACGACAGTCTTAATTAACATAGTCAGTATTATTTTGTTTTGGCCATGCTTTATTTTCAAGACCTCTTTTTCATTTCGCATATAGGATGGACTTTGGGGAAATMGCAGATTTTGCAGCCCAAGACACTAGGACCCTGCTTTATTCACTGCAAAGGATCAGTTTGGAGGAAACCTTAAGGAAACGGATTCTGTTCCTGTCTCTGTTCCAGGCAGGATGTGTACTCTGCAGCTGCATCTTTTGTGCATGAGTTCATGAGCGTGGACTAATTTCACGCTGGCTAACTTTGGTATTGATAACGCCAACTTTTGGGCAAGCCCGGAAACAAAGGAGTAAAGAACATGTATACGTTATCACTACCAAACCACTGGCTCGGAGAGGCCAAAACAAATTATTGACACACTTCTCAAGCCAGTTCCTATGTGATATGATGTGGCAACTTAAAGCAAGTCATTTGACTTCACAGGAGACAGCAAGTTATGTGCTTATCAATTTTCTGGGAATTTTGGCAAGAGCTGAGCACTCAGAACCACTGTCCTGGGCTGACAATGTGCTGTGAGCAGATGACCAGTTGYTCCTGGTTTGCTATCTTGCTATACATTACTATAAATCCAAATTATTGTGTCTAAAATCTTGAGGTCTTCCAAGGACCTCAAGGACCCCTAAGTGGATTCTTGAGGAATCCACTTTTACCTGGAATAAACTGCAAAATCTACAGTTATTTCGGTTCTGTTTCTTCTGGCAGCTGCAACTATCCATGGCGGGCACTGGAATGTATGTGGGTGTTCATTGTTATCTAAATAGGCCCGACTAAATTTGATAAAGCAAATGGCAATTTGAACCACCAGTGCAGTGCAAGAGCACAGCATTTAGTTCCTAGCCTTCTTCCAAATGATCTCACAAGCAAGGAGTTAGTTACTGACCTGCATCACTGGTAACTTTATTTAGTGGAAAGTATGAGTAGCCAGTCCTATGCAATACATTCTGTTGCACATAGACAGAATCAGCAATGCTTTGACATTAAAATGTCCTTAAAAATGCTTTGGAGAAGGATAACTAGCAGGAAGTCAAATGAATGATCCTGCAAGCAGAAACAATGCATGTGATTGTAAAGTCAACAGATCTTTTTTTTATCTATTTCAGTTCAAAATCAACTCTCCTGAGACAAAAACCTCTTTCAAAGCCAAACTCCAATGCCACAGAAATCTTAAAATACAAAAAGATAACTAAAATAAATCTAAATAACCCAGAGTCGTATTTAAGTCCAGAAGAAATTATGTACCTCCTGAGTCACAAGTAAACTGAGAAAAAAAAGTTACACCCAAACTGCTTGCAAAAGAGAAGAAAAACTGAGAGAAAAATAATACAGAAAATGGAAGAAAGAAATGTCAAATGTGGGAAAAACAAAACTGTGGACAACACAGAATTAATAGAATGGAAAGTTGCAGCATCATTAGAGAGATTTCCTCCCCTGCAATCCAATAAGTGGGATAACTTTGCTAATCTGCCTCTGTGTACGCGTTGTGCCCTGCAGTATGCGATACACCTCAGACCCTGCAATTAAATAACAGGAGAACTGTCCGTGTTATTAGTGGTTTTAGGAGATCAATGTAACAAACCTGAAGTATTTGTTTGTCAGGCTGTGCGTGGCGAACGCTCGGGCCCAGCCAGGCGTACGGCCACTCCAGCTGCCCGGGGCTCTGTGGCGCTCCTGGGCTCCATCTGGAAGCCAAGACACAAGTGAACAAACCAGGCAGCATCAGGAATCGCTGCAGAGGTGACCCAGGTAGCCTGGGACACCCAACTCAGCACGAGCTACAGCAGCCAGCACTTTGTGATGCACTATTTCCCAAGTAAAAGGAAGCCCTCAAGGCATATATCTACATGGAAGAGTATCTGCAAAACTCATCAAGAAATATGTTGTCCAAGAGGCACTAAACATCTGCTTCAATAGGTTTTAAGAAGAAAAACAGCTCAAAACATACTCATTCAAAACAGCAGGAAGGAGAAGGGAAAGAGGTTGCAAAATTACGGCAGCCAGTGGTTTTTACCAACTCGAGAGCAGAGTCCAGCTGAAACTTCCGCCCCTCCATTTGAGACTGTGTTTCCATTGAGCTCTTGCATGGGGCTCAAAATAAGCTTCCCGCTTTCTCTCCATCCTTCCTTCTCACCAGCAGGCTGAGGTGATGTCCCTTCTACGTGCCTTCAAGACCAACCCGAGCCGAAACTTTGCAGCCCTGAAAGCAGCCAGAACAGCGCGAGCGCTGACGCCACCTCCCCTGAAAGGGGCAGCAGAGGGACCCCAAGCCCTTGCGGCCCCGTGCCTGTGGTGATGGCAGCCCCCTTCCCTGCCCATAACCCAGAGGTACCAGGCAAGCAGCAAGGAGAAGCGCTGTAGGGAGCAACGCACCCGCCTGTGGGGCTGCACGAGACCTTGACTCACAGCCTGTCGCTGTGTCACAGCCCCGGTGCCAAACGCAGCCGGCCTCCGAGCTCAGGGAGAACAAGAAGTGCTTGTGCCTCTGGGTCCTACCCCCTTGGCCTCATGTGCCTGGCCAGCTGACATAAGCTGCTGTGGGGAAGATGAAATATTTGCTTTTTTAAGATAGTTGTGTCATTCCTACAGCGCCCTGCCAGCACTCACTGCTCCTCAGAGGCCGGTGCGCTCTTGTTTGCTCTAAGGAGAGGCTAGAGAAGCATTTTCCACACAAGCACAGCTCAACGCTCACTTCCTTCCTCTCTGTGTTTTATGAAAAATAGCTCCTCTTTTCCCCTCGGATTTCCTATTGCTCAGCCTACCATTCAGCCCTCCAGGCACCCAGGTTTGTGTCCTGTATCCTGCTAGCTCCACCCACACAGTCATGTCAGTGTTGTCAGCACTAAGGCAGCTCCTGSAGTTCTCACTGCCAGGCTCCTGCCTTCAAACATTTAGGCCTGTTTCTTGGCCTGTGTGATCTGTTCTGGATTCCTTTACAAGTCTGCAATGGCTAAAGGTCTGGGTACAGGTGCATGACATTTCCTCTGGTTGTTCTCCAAACTGGGTCCAGGCTTAAGAACATGATGAAGCAATAGAGAACTTGAGAGAGGGCTAGAAAAGTGCACAAATAGCCACAGCTAGACCTCAGGAAAAAGCAGACTACAGCTAGATGAGCCACTACATGTCAGGAATGGTAGCAYAGAAGCCTTGGAAGCCCCCTAATATGTGACCCGACAGGCAGATTTCAATGAGGGAAAGAGATAGGTCAGGAAGGAGAGCAGTGCTTTGCATTTTTCTCCTAGCTAAGACTTTGAGTTGCTTTGAACACTGCACCTTTTGTGTGAGAACGGCAGCTGGGAAAGTCTGACATGCATTCCTTCCCATGACTTAATTACCAGCTTGCAAATTCTGCCAGGCGGGGACTATCGCTACGGGCCAGGCGCTCCCCCCTTGCAAGCAGGTCAGGTACCCACAGAGCTGCCCCATGTGAATTTTGTCCATCGGTCAGTATGCAGGACACTTATAATCCTACAATCAGTGTTGAAGTGTTTAACCATTTTATCAAGCCGAGTGGAAAACACCGAACAATAT